CCTCTAGCAAGCCTCACTGCACCTCTCCCCCTGCTGTTTGTGTTTGGAATTTTGTCATTTTTAGCTGAGACCAAATTAAACCTTGGTGCATAAAGTGAGCTTAAAACTTGCCACTGTTTAATAAGTTAGCTCTCATAGAATGTGACCCTGTCTGCAGGGTCTCATTTACCCTTCTTTTTCTCATTGTCATTTGTTGGTGTTAATAGGGCTGTCTTACAGGATCATGTTGGCATTTACTATCATGTCTTTCATAAACCATGTTTGTTTGGGGTAGAAGAATCACCGTATAATTTGTTGTCCAAACTGGGACTATTAAGAAAGAAAGGGGATGCTATTACACCAGATCAACAGGCATAAACCAGACCTGTCCCAGGCCAATGGGGATATATGGTCTTTCTAGTTGTGGGTAACCTGATCTAGGTGGTTTGTAATTGTGCATACTGACTGCATATATGTTTGTGTATGTCTAAATGTGGGCTCCCTGTTAAGTGGGGCTCATGGATACGAGGCCCGCGTGTGGCTTGCTAGTCTGTTATGTTAACATGCTTTTCTAAAATTGCTTCACGTGTTAATTCATTTACTCCTGCATTCATTGACTGTTTTTGTTCTTTTCCATTCACTTTGTACTCATTTTTTTCCATTAAATTTTGCATTTATTTTGAGTTTTTGTGGTGTCTTTTTTGGGCAGTAGCTTTTCTGATTTAACAAGTTTCCTAAGCCCATTAATCTGCTACAACTGTGGTAAAATACAGCTTGTCTGTTCTTTGAATTTTGTGGAGGTTGATCTACTTCCGCAGGAATCGTTTTAATAGGAAACCCTGCTACAGGCATCTGTGAAAAGCTCTTGGATAGGTGGGGGATGGAGGGAAGAGTCACAGGAAAGTCACAGAAAGGTAAAGGTGCAGTCTGTGGTCCACGAATCTTTATTGGACAACTGGGGGCAGGACATGAGAAAAGGGGCTCCTGCCCTCAAGGAGCATTCCTCCTTAGCAAAAAGGCTTCCCATGGGACTGCTAATATTTGAGTGTCAGAACTGCTTGGAACCACATTACATGCATTAACTCCTCTAATCCTCATCCTAATCCTATGATTAGGGACCATTCATCCCCATTTTATAGCTGAAACACAGAGGTTTAAGTAATTACCCAAGGTTACACGGCAAGTAACTGGAGAAGTTGAGATTTGAACGCTGGTAATCTGTACCCTTAATTCCTGAGCCTACAGCTGCTCCTTGGCATCTCAATGGAATGATGGAAGAGTAGTGGAAGTGTGGCCAGGTTAAAGTACACAGCCTGATGATGTGGGCTGGTGGACCTGAGACTGTTTTTTAGAGGTAGATAGCCCTAGAGGACAGGCAAAAGTTTGGCTGAGGAAGAGCAGACTGGTGGTTGAAAGGTGGTAAAAAGTACGTGGGTTTCTTTTTAAAGGAGCTTTCTCCATTGAGCACCAGGTAGATTTGGGAAGACCAAAATGAGAAAATGGGGATCCCTGCAGGAAGAGTGGTATGAACACATCCCTAATGCAGGCATAGCTCAGCTCTACTTGTGGGAAGGCAGGCAGCAAAGAGGCAAAGTATTCACCAACTTTTGAAGGACAGAGACTTTCCAGGAAGCCAGGGGGAGGAGGGTCTCCTAGGTGGTGGAAACATCATCAAATGACTTGGCTCCTTCCTTTCAGGGACGTACTGTTTGGACAAGTTTAAGACAGGTCTATGATGCTCCCTCCCTGCCCTGTTCCTCCCTGAGCCCACCTACCTTTCTTTCTGCCATAGCATCTGCCTCTGAGCTTTTTCCATCTCCATTTTCTTCACCAATCCCTGCCTTTCTATAGGTGGGGTCAAAAGGAAAATGGATTGTATCCATACTTCTCCCTGAGAAGTATTTCCCAATCTCTGAGTTGAGGTGGGATAGGAGTTCCTAATGTCAGAAAAGAATATTAGAGGGAAATAGGATGGGATCTGGGGCCTCAAGGCAAGCTTGAAAAGCACATAACACTTTTTAAAATCCACAAGTGGGACTTTGGCAATACAAAAGTGAGCTTCCCTATAGAAGAGTTCTATCATTTACAGAAAGCCAGAGCAGAAGGTTGTCTCTTATCCCAGTCCTGGGACTCACAGGTCTACCCTCTGCTTTCTCCAAGAGGTTGAGTTGGATCAGCTTTTGGAATCTAGCTCACATCCAGAGCCACCTGGTTAAGCAGCAGATGTCTTCTAGCAGTTCCCCAAAGCCTGGGACACCCAAGCTGGTATGGGCCCTCGGGATGTCCTCCTGCCTTATGCACTGTGGTCCCACTTACACTGGAAGGAAGGAGGCAGAGGGCACTCACGGCCACCACTGGAAGCTGTGAGCAGCATGGCCTCAGCATCTCCATCTGTAAAATGGGTTCTGGAGTAGAGGAGAGTTCTTGATATGACCTAGGAGATAGTGTTCCAAATATATCTGACTCTCGCAAGCCTAAATGCATGGTAGCTCAAAATAAGATTCATACAGGATTGGAAGCAATTAAAGTTTAATTTTAACAAAAGCTCCAGCAAGCAAAAGTGTGTCAAGAAAAAATAGAGATGTATACTAACTCTATAATATAGACAATTATGGTATATCTAGCCCTTGACCACTTTGCACCTAGTAAATCATTCCCTTCCCACACCATGGCTTAGCACATTTACACACACACACACACACACACACACACACAAAGCCACCATAGTTCAGAGTGGAAGACTTCATAAACCACCTCTGAATGTGTAGCTCAGTCATTCATGTCCCCAACACAACTTACACAGCCCAGCTGGCATCTGTGTCAGCTGCACTCCCCTGCTCAGAGAATGGCTCTGTAGTAGCACAGCTTGAAAGAAGCAGCTGGCTCCTCCTCCTGGCAGCACTGTGGTTGGAGCAGGCTTGGCCTCAGAACCTGCTCATCCCAACAAAGCACTCAGAGCTGTGCCTTCCATCACAGGTGTTAGCCTATAATACCCATTCATTAGCACAAAATCCCTCTAGTTAAACTAATAACTGAAAACACTTTGCTTAAGAGTAACAAAGGAAAGATATGCTTAAAGCTTGCTCAAGTTACATTAAACAAAGCATACTTTATAATCCAGTCCTTGTAAAAAGAAGACATAAGTCATGGCCATGGTCGGGTAAATGTGTCTGCAGAGACTGTCCCATGTTAGGAGTTGCAGGCAGGGTAGTTGGGACTGGAAGCACCACATATATGTTTGGGATAAGCCTGGGAAGTTGGAAGGACTTGGCCAGCTCTGGCAGGTAGAGCAGCAAGAACTGGTCAGAACTAGCCCCAACCCTTCAGCCCTGAGCCAGGCCTGCCTCTTGGTCTCATATTCCAGCGCTCTCAGGGGCCCATGCCAACCCTTGCTGTAGAAGGAAGGAAAAACAAGCTGCCATTTGAACGTTCATTCATACTCCCTGGCTTCAGGCCCAGAGGAGAAAAAGGGAAGGCAGGGTCATGGTCTATTAGACCACCCTGATCTCTACTGACCCCAGCCTGCCTTTCCCCTCCCCACTTTATTTTTTTTCCAAGGGCTTAGTTGGGAACTTTTTCTCAGTTGCTCTTCCAGAGCCACCTTCCCTTTTTACAGGATTAATAACAAGCCAAAGAACTCATGGTAGTCCAAGCAAGGAGGTTTCACATTAGGCTCTGAAGGCCCCAGGGTGGAGGCAGAGCGGCTGGTTGGCAGGTGACATAAAGTTGTCTGTACAGGATGATGACTGAAAACTTCTCAGTTGCTGCATTACAAGTTCCTTGCAGCAGCTGTACTGCATATCACCAACCTGTATTAGAATAGAGTGGCCATCTTCAAGCAGAACCATCATACATTCTAAGAAATTGGCAATTGAGTGCCAAAATGTTAGCATGAAGCAAGTTCAGGAAGGTCCAACCACCCAACTAAGGACCACTAATCCTACCATCTCAGGGACATCCATTTCCAACCTCAGTAAAGTTGTCATTAGTTTAACCATGCATTCCATCCTAACCTATCTGTTCTGAGGGATTCCGACACACCCCCCTCCTCCTCGTGCCCCGACAATGCTTGCCTTATGGTACCCTGTACCTGGTACCACACACTTGTACAAAGGAGAGGTGAAGGAGTTTAAAATGTATGCTCCCCAGTATTAAGCTCAGGGTTGCTTCCTCCTAAGCCAGACATCCCCCTGACCCCCCAGTCCTCTTGACTACAAGGGCTCCCATTGAGATAAAGATTCTCGCACTCTCAGAGACAACCCCCATTGGTCCAGTGAAGAGAACACATGTCCCATCTCAAGTGCATAGGGCATGGCCAAGTGTGGAAAGCCTAGCCTTTGGGCAGACTCTTTCCAGGGTTATGGCCAGAACATTTTCCAGAGGCCACAAGGGGAAAGGGTGCCCCTTTGGGGTCAGAGTGCATCAGCTAAAGGGGCAAAACACAGAGCCTGGTCTGGGGCAAAGTTGATGTCTACCTGTGCTTTCTTTAGCAGATCAGATATAGGAGCACACCAACCGGGCATGAGCCTCTCCAGCTCTAAGGTGATGATGACCAAGGCCAGTGTGGAGCCCTTGAACTGCAGCAGCTGGTGGCCCGCCATACAGTGCTGCAGCTGCCTGGTCAGGGATGCGACGTGGAGGGAAGGATTCCTCTGAGGCAGCAGCTCCAACACATGGGGCCAGCTCAGGACCACCAGGGCATGGAACTGGAGACCATGGTTTTTAATGTTAGAACAGAAAACCCCATACTTTTCATATATCAATGACCAGAAGCGCAAACAATTTGAATTTCCATCAGGGAACATCAAATGTTGCCCAACCCTTTTCATTCCTATCCATGGCTCCATAAGGGGCTTGAGGCTTAATGCCCACTCTGTGGCCAAGCTGAGCTTCCACCCCAGAGACCAAAAAAAAAAAAAAAAAAAAGAGTCTGCTTTGTGACATCATCGTTATGAGTGGAAAGTACCTAGATGACAATGTTTCCATTCTGAAAAATAGAAACATACTATTCAAGACCAAGGTAGCAGAAAAGTTACTTGTATCTGCTTATCATAAGAAACTCTGCAACTTGGCAACAGTGGCCAGTTTTCATAATGAAACAGCCCTTAGTAATTTAATCTTCATGCCTCATAACAAACCAAAACCCCATGAGATTTCCACATTGCATAATTTGCCTTACTAACAGAATCATATCCTTAAGGATGACCATCATTCCCCCAACTAAAACAAATACAAACTAATGTATGATATTTTTTTAAGTGCCAGATCAATATGGTCTAAAGCCTCAATAAGGATTGTGTGTAGGTGAATAAAGACAGCTAAGTGAATGTGTGTAAAGTGTAGCAAAAGCAGACAGATATTTATGTACAGTATTCATAGAATGGAAAGTTAAATATTTTTGCAGTGTGTATTTAAAAGAGAAACTCACCATAATAGTGCCGTCTAAAAATCTTTGTAAAGTTAATTTAATGTCCTTTAGAAGTGGGAGTCTGGTGGAACTGTGTTGGATTTAAGATACCTTTTCACTCTCCCGTACGTCGTGAGCCTTGTGGGTCACCTCACTGTGGTGCATGTGCAAGGGCGTGTGCACGCCTGTGCTTTGCCGTCCTATGTTGTAAACAGCTGTTCCAAAGGCACAAATGAGTTTAGGGTAGACTCTGTAAACGCCTCCTTACTCACTATAGTCAAGAAGTCCAGCGGCGTCCCAATATAGAGGTCCCAGTGCAGTCTGTCCAGAATAGCCAGCTCCATCCTTAGCAGCTCATTCGGGGAATAGTCAGAGCCATAGTGCTTTATGAAGTCTTTTACCTGTGGAATAAACTGTAAAAAGAAAATAAAGAGGCCAAAGCCCTACATCATGTCATAGTAGCTTTTGTTTTCTTATCCATGGGGACTGGGCATTCATGACCTTAGTGGAGTTGTCTTCCTGTGGCCTGCCACAGAAAATGCTTCTGAAAGAAATACTAAACCAGATCTTGGCTATCTGTCAAATCCTCAGGTAGTTATGTAGTGAACATTACATGGTTCCCCTCTGAAACCAGGTCTTGATCCCCCAACTGCATACTAGCTCATACCCAACGGTGCTTTGGAGGCTGGGGCTGTGCCATCTCCCCTGTTCAGCTGCAAGAACTCACCCAAAGCTTTCCAGGAGCCATGGGTTCTGGTTCTGCCTATCCCTATTCCTGATCCCTACCATGGGTACTGGGCATACAGAAAAAACTATGCTTTTGAGCTTCCTAGTCTGTACCAGACAGACACATTGATAAAACCTCCTATGGGTTTTTCAGCATCACAACTGCAAACTTCCTTCAACCTTGATTGAAGGTGGTTCAGTTCTGGAAAATCTATGGCTTTTCCCACAGAGGGACTAATGAGACTTGTCTATGAGTAAACATTCAAGTACTAAGTATATTAAAGGCTTGATCCTATGTTTTTAGATAGACAGAAGTATTACTATAACATCCAGAAAAAGGGTCACTTGATTTTTAAAAGCAACTTGGGCATTAATTCTATTCTAATAAATAGGAGTTTAAAACATTTTTATTGAAGGTTTGGAACTGGACACACAACTTCTTCCCTGCCTCATCAGACCCAGAGATCAGCTAAGGGTGACCCCTGTGGCAATGGCAGTGATTTCATCATCCCCAAAATGAGAAAAGTTGGAGGGAGGTAGGAAAGTTTGGAAAGGGTATTAGGAGATGATCTCCTCCTGAACATATGGCACAGTGAAATTCAGCCATTCAGGCATGCCTGAAGCACTCATGGGCCCTTGTACTTTACCCCCAGCACATGGCCCTCCTGTCCCTCTCAGGGGTCCCAGAGTTCCCAAAGACCAGCTTCATTGACACAGCCAAGTCCTCAAGTCTCAGGCAGCTTTCTTAGACATAATTGCTTGGGGTGGATGTTAAGTCACATGGTTTGGGAGGCCTTTTTCCTTGCTCAACAGCAGATGCCCCTGTTGAGAGAGAGGTAGCATCTGGCATCAACCAGTGAGGCCATATGTATCTGTCAAGAGTTCAGGTCTCTAGGTTTGGTGGGCCAGGACAGTTCAGCTGTTCTACTTGTTCATTTGTGGGGTCTCAAAGTCTGACAAGCCAATGGAAGGGACAGCAGAGATGCTGGCAAGTTGGTGACTTTTCCAGAACATCCACCATACGTGAAGGGCACAGACCTATCATGAAACTGGAGTCCTCCAATGTTACACCCCTATACCTGAAGTGCAGCCCAGTGTGGACTTCCAAGAATGCATACCTCCTGTTCTTCATTAACTTTTGCAGCAAGCCTCAAGGAAGTAATTGTGGCGCAATGTAGGTATTTCTCTTTTACCTGCGGTATGGAACAAACACATTTGAGCAGAATATGAATGCCAAAAACAAACTGAAAAGCATCTGTGTTTGTTTTTTTAATATACTTTTTTGAGACGGAGTCTCACTCTGTTGCTCAGACTGGAGTGCAGTAGCATGATCTTGGCTCACTGCAAACTCCACCTCCTGATTTTGAGTGATTCTCCTGCCACAGCCTCCTGAGTAGCTAGGACTACAGGCACGGGCCACCACGCCTGGCTAATTTTTGTATTTTTAGTAGAGACAGGGTTTCACCATATTGGCCAGGCTGGTCTCGAACTCCTGACTTCAGGTGATCCACCCCCCCCACCCCACCCTTTGACCTCCCAAAGTGCTGGAATTACAGGCATGAGCCATTGCCCCCAGCTATTTGTTTTAATAAGCTTTTTTCCATTTTTAAAAGGCTCCATTTCTCCACAAGACAGAATGTTAGTGCCATTTTTAGATCTGACCAATGAGGATGCTCCTGATTTCAGAACTGCAGATGACTGGGCAGTATTCCTTCATTTCGGGACTGACTGGAGGTGGGAAATACGGCACCTTCTCAGGGAACTCAGTCTCATCCTAGCCTCAAGCTGCCCTCGACAGGTCGAGACAAGCACATCCTACCTCATTACACAGGAAGCCCTTTCCCAGCTACTTCCTCTCACGCTCCCCGAGCCCTGACCCTGATGACCACATGACCCTGAGACAGCCAGTGTAGGATGTGGAGAGGTTCCAAAACCAGTTCTACCACTCGAAGCAAGTTAGTTTATACACCTTGGTTTGAGCCTCTGGAACCCCTCACCTCTCAAGCAGGAATGGGGAACAAAGGTTAGTTTCTTCTTTCACCATCTGCCACCGTCCCTCAGAGGCCTCCCTACCTTCACTGATATCAGGAGGCGGCTGAAGATGGTGAGGGCCAGGTTAAAAGTGGATTGGGAGAAGTAAAAGATGTTCTGAAGCCGCAGGAGCCACAGCACGACTCCCTCGAAGGCATTGCAGATTTCATCCCGCTAGGAAGAAGAGCAGGTGGGGCGAGGAAGGTCGTTAGCGGCCACTCCTGGTCCCCCAGGAGCAGGAGCCTCCTACTTAAGGTGCCGGGGGGCAGTGAGAAGTCCCTTCCCCTGCAGGCCCGCTGGGAGTAAGCGCCCAGCTGGCGCAGCGGCTCACCCATCACCCCCACCCCGCGCGCCCGCTTTTCGTCGTAGGCCGAGTTCCTTGATTCAAACAGGCCCTCTTCCGAAGGCCCTGCTATCAAGACGCCCTCTTAGAGAGAAGCTGGTGGGTCCAGCCTCGTGCCTCTCGTGAGGGGCCACACCTGGGGAAGCGCCTGGCCTCCAGGTGCAGAACATCGGACCGCTGGTGCAGGTGGAGGCCACATCCGCCTGCCGTGTGCGCGCAAGGAGGGCCACGCTGCGGGGACGGGTACCTGGGGTTTGCCGCCCCGCCACAGGCGCGCCTCGCGGTCCTGGGCCAGCTGCAAGTGGCAGAGCAGCCGGCGCTCGTCGAGGACGCCTTCCAGGTTTCGCGGCTTGGGGGACTGTGGAGCGGGCCGCGGAGCTTGCTCTGGGGCGGCTGCGGGCACCGGGTCTGTGGTTCTCCCGGCCGGGGCCGTATTACGCCGGGGCCGCAGGCGGACTGTCGCGGACGCAGCGTGGAGGGAAGCCGCTCCGGCCTGGCTGGTCCCAGGGCACCTGCTCCGGGTGCTCGGGGGCAGAGGGGCCTCCCCCGGAGACCGCGGGAGAGGAACGCCCAGGGCTGCTTCCTCCAGATGGGCGCCTGGACGCCCGCCTGGGCTCTGGACTGCGCTGACTTCTGAGCTCGACGGTTGCGGCGGGAACCGAGCGCCCGAGGCCATGTCGTGAGCGGGATCCTAAGTCTGAGTCGCTGCTTAACCCGGCATTTTATAACCCAGCGCCCACAACACTGCAGCCTGGGGCGCCGCCGGGGGAGGCGGGGAGGCGGGCTCGGCGAGCCCCACCCACAACGCTCCCGGGGGAGCTACCCCTGGCGCACCCGGCCGCGCTTCCTGGGCACTCGCCCCGCAGGTGCGCGGCGCGCACCCAGGACACGGTAGGACTGGGCGCGCACAGGCGGGTGGCGAACCCCGACCCTTCCCTCCATCCCGGCTGCTGCCTACCGCACGCCTCTTCCCCCCTGCCGGCCGTGCTCCCTGCGCAGAGCCCCCAGCCGCGGGTGGGGCGGCTGGAGACTGCGCTCGCCTTAGGCCGGGACTCCCGGCCGCAGACCCTGGGTCTTACCTCATATTACACACCTGGGGACATAAGACCAGGCAAAGGAACAGCGAGAGCGCCCTCCTCAGACAGGCTTGAAATGGAATTCCAGACGCGCTGTGTGACCTCATGCGTGTGTCGTGACCTCTCAGAGCCTTGGCTACCTCTTCTCCAAAAAAAAAAAAGTGATAATACTTCCCTCACAAGGTTAATTCATTCATATATATATATATATATATATATTTGTTTATGTATCTATACATACATATATAGCTATAAACGTATAATAAGGAAAATCATACAAATCATATATATGTATATATACACACACATAAATTTTAGGGGTGGGTCTTGCTCTGTTGCCCAGGCTGGAGTGCCGTGGCTATTCTCAGGTGTCATCACAGCACACTACAACCTCAAACTCCTGGGCTCAAGCTACCCTCAACTTCAGCCTCCCAAGTAGCTGAGACAGGTGCACACCACCATGCCTGGGTCCTAAGTTATATTTTGTTTAAAAAAATTCATTACATTAAATGCATATTAAAAATATATGGGAATACCAGAAGGACAAGAAAGAGAGGAACAGAAGAAATATGTGGAACAATAACGACTGAGAATGAATATTCCCAAATTAATGCCAAACACCAAACCACAATCTAGGAAGCTCTGAGAACATTAAGAAAGATAAATGCCAAGAACTACACCTAGACATTCCTATTTAAACTGTAGAAAATCAAAAGAAACTATCAACAGAGTCAGCAGACAACCTACAAAATGGGAGAAAAGTATTAGCAAATTACGCATTTGACAAAGGTCATAATATCCAGAATCTGTAAGGAACTTAATTAAACAAGCAAAAAACAACCCCATCAAAAAACAGGCAAAAAGATATGAACAGACTTCTCAAAGGAAGATATACAAGCGGTCAACAAACATGAAAAAATGCTCCACATCACTAATAATCAGAGTAATGCATCTCACACCAATCAGAATGGCTACTATTAAAAAGTTAAAAAACAACAGATGCTGGTGAGGCTGCAGAGAAGAAAAGGGAATGCTCATACACTGCTGGTGGTAATGCAAATTAATTCAGTCACTGTGGAAAGCAGTTTGGAGATTTCTCAAACAACTTAAAACAGTACTATTCAACCCAGCAGTCCCTTTACTGGGTATATGCCCAAAAGGAAAATAAATTGTTCTACCATAAAGACACATATATTTGCATGTTCATCACAGTACTTGTCACAGTAGCAAAGACACGGAGTCAACCTAGGTGCCCTTCAGTGGTGGACTGGATAAAGAAAAGGTGGTACAAATACAACATGGAATACTATGTAGCCATCAAAAAGAATGAAATCATGTCCTTTGCAGCAAACATGGATGTAGTTGGAAGCTATTATCCCAAGCAAATTAACACAGGAACAGAAAATCATATACTACATGTTCTTACTTATAAGTGAGCATTGAGTACACATGAATGTAAAGATGGCAATAGTAGACACTGGAGGCTACCAGAGCAGGGAGGGAGGGAGGGGACAAGGGTTGAATAACTATGGGGTACCGTGCTCAGTACCTGGGTAACAGGATCATTCATACCTCAAGTCTCAGCATCACGCAATATGCCAGAATCTAAAATAAAATTTGAAAAAAACCTGCAGAAAATCAAGATTAAAAAAAAAATCTCAAAAGAAGCTGGCCTGTAATCTCAGCACTTTGGGAGGCTGAGGTGGGAGGATAACTTGAGGTCAGGAGTTCAAGACCAGCCTGGCCAACATGGTGAAACCCCGTCTCTACTAAAAGTACAAAATTAGCCAGGTGTGGCATAGTCCCAGCTATTCAGGAGGCTGAGGCACAAGAATCACTTGAATCCAAGAGGTGGAGATTGCAGTAAACTGAGATCATGCCACTGCACTCCAGCCTGGGTGACAGAGGGAGACTCCATCTCAAAAAAAAGAAAAGGAAGGAAAGAAAGAAAGAGCGAGCAAAGCCAGGAGCAGGAGCAGGGTAGGGTGAGGTGGGAATAAGATAAGGTGGGATAAGGATAAGAATCACATTGGACTTGTCTTCGGAAATCATACAAGCAAGAAGAGTGGAGTGAAGTATTTAAAGTTTTGAGAGAAAACCCCACCAGCCTAGAATTCTGTATTCAACAAAATTATCCTTCAGAAGTGAAAGAGAAATAGTTTCACCAACAAAACTGAAGGAATTTCTCACCAGTAGACCTGCTTTGCAAGAAATGTTAAAAGAAATTTTTCAGAGAGAAGGAAAATGATGTAGGTCATAAATTTCGAGCTACATGAAGAATGAATGTTAAGGAATAATTGAAAGTAAAATAAAACTTTTGTTTTTCTTATTCCTAATTGGTCTAATAATCATTTATTCAAAATCAATAATGTATTTGATGATTATAGGTTATGGATAAGTTAAATGAATGACAACAATGATACCAGGCATGGGAGGGAAGAATTAAGAATACTTTGTTGTAAGGTACCTGTGCTGCCTGGAAAACAGTATAATGTTACTTGAAAGTGGACTTGAATTAGTTATAAATGTATATTGCAAACTGTAGGACAACCAGCAAAAAAAGTTTTAAAAAAAGTATGATTCGTATGCACTAAGAAAGGAGAGAAAACGGAATCATATAAAATGCTAGTAACACCAATGGTAGCTTGAATCCACAGGAAACAAGGAAGAACAAGAAATAGTCAATAAGAAGATTAATATTACAAACTCTATAAATACAAACTTGGCTCTATTTTCTTCTCTCGGCTACTTTAGAAGATTTAAAATACTTAAAATTTTATAACAAAGTTATAACAAAGTATTGTTTGGTTTATAACATATGTAAGTATAATCTGTATAATAATAGCACAAAAAGAGGAGGAGGGAACAGAAGTAAATGGGAGTTACCTTTTTTTTTCTTTTCTTTTTTTTTCTTTTTTTTTTTGAGATGGAGTTTCACTCTTGTTGCCTAGGCTGGAGTGCAATGGCGCGATCTCGGCTCACCGCAACCTCCGCCTCCCAGGTTCAAGCGATTCTCCTGCCTCAGTCTCCCTAGTAGCTGGGATTACAGGCATGTGCCACCACGCCCAGCTAATTTTGTATTTTTTAATAGAGACGGGGTTTCTCCACGTTGGTCAGGCTGGTCTCGAACTCCCGACCTCAGGTGATCTGCCCGCCTTGGCCTCCTAAAGTGCTAGGATTACAGGTGTGAGCCACTGGGCCTGGCCAGGAGTTACATTTATATATGTCACTGGAATTCAATTATTATAAATCAGAAGTATTATAGATTCTGATAAGATCTATATCGGAAGCCTTAGAGGTTTTTGTTGTTTTTTTTTTTTTTTTTTTTTGAGACGGAGTCTCGCTCTGTCACCCAGGCTGGAGTGCAGTCATTGCAACCTCTGCCTCCCGGGTTCAAGCAATTCTCCTGCCTCAGCCTCCCAAGTAGCTGGGACTACAGGTGCCTGTCACCATGCCCAGCTAATATTTGTATTTTTGATAGGGACAGGGTTTCACCATATTGGCCAAGCTCGTCTCAGACTCCTGACTTTGTGATACGCCTGCCTTGGCCTCCCAAAGTGTTGGGATTACAGGTGTGATCCACCGTGCCCAGCCTTTTTTGTTTGTTTGTTTATTTGAGACAAAGTCTTGCTCTGTTGCCCAGGCTGGAGTTCTATGGTGCGATCTTGGATCACTGCAACCTCTGCCTCCTGGGTTCAAGCGATTCTCCTGCTGCAGCCTCCTGAGTAGCTGGGATTACAGGTGTACGCCACTGTGTCCAGCTAATTTTTCTATTATTCATAGAAACGGGGTTTTCCCATGTTGGTCAGGCTGGTCTCGAACTCCTGACCTCAAGTGATTCGCCTGCATCAGCCTCCCAAAGTGCTGGGATTACAGGCATGAGCCACTGGGCCCACCAAGGAAATAACTTTAAAAAATAGTAAACCAGGCCGGGCGCGGTGGCTGAAGCCTGTAATCCCAGCACTTTGGGAGGCCGAGACGGGCGGATCATGAGGTCAGGAGATCGAGACGATCCTGGCTAACACGGTGAAACCCCGTCTCTACTAAAAAATACAAAAAACTAGCCGGGCGAGGTGGCGGGCGCCTGTAGTCCCAGCTACTCGGGAGGCTGAGGCAGGAGAATGGCGTAAACCCGGAAGGCGGAGCTTGCAGTGAGCTGAGATCACGCCACTGCACTCCAGCCTGGGCGACGGAGCGAGACTCTGTCTCAGAAAAAAAAAAAAAAAGTAAACCAATAATTAAAGAAATTCAAATGTTAAACTATAAAAGATTCACGTAACGAAAAACCAGTGAAGGAGGAACAGAAGAACAGAAAGACAATACGACATATCAAAAAACAAAAAGCAGGCTGGGCATGGTGGCTCACGCCTGCAATCCTAGCACTTTGGGAGGCTGAGGAGGGAGAACTGCTTGAGCCCAGGTGTTTGATACCAGCCTGGGCAGCATAGAGAGATCCTGTCTCTATCAAAAAAAAAAAAAAAAAAAAAAGCCGGGCATGATGGTGCATGCCTGTGGGCCCAGCCACTCAGGAGGCTGAGGCAGGAGGATGGCTTGAGCCCATGAAGTTGAGGCTGCAGTGAGCCACGTTTGTATCATTGCATTCCAGCCTGGGTGACAGAGTGAGACCCCATCTCAAAAAAGGAAGGAAGAAAGGAGGGAAGGAGGGAGGGAGGGAGGGAGGCAGGGAGGGAAGGAAGGAAGGAGGGGAGGAAAGAAGGGAGGGAGGGAGGGAGGGAAAGGGGCAGGGAGGAAGGAAGGGAAAACAAAAAGAAAAATGGGATACTTACATCTAATATTATCAATAATAACGTTAAATGTGAATGGGCTAAACAATTGTATTAAGTCTGCTAGGGCTGCGTAATGGACTGAATGTTTATGTCCCTCCCAAATTCGTATTTTTTTTTCTTGTTTGTTTTTTGTTTTTGAGATGGAGTCTCGTTCTGTCGTCCAAGCTGGAGTACAGTGATGCCATCTCGGCTCACTGAAAGCTCTGCTTCTTGGCTTCAAGAGAGTCTCCTGCCTCAGCCTCTCGAGTAGTTGGGTCTACAGGCACGTGCCGCCACGACTGGCTAATTTTTGTATTTTTAGTAGAGACAGGGTTTAGCCATGTTGGCCAGGCTGGTCTTGAACTCCTAACCTCAAGTGTTCCTCCTGTCTTAGCCTCCCAAAGTGCTGGGATTACAGTACTGAACTATCACACCCTGTTGCAAATTCATATTTTGAAACCCTAACCTGCAATGTGATGGTATTTGGAGATGAGACCTTTGGGAGGAAGTTGGGGCTCTCAGACGTCATGAAGGTGGGACCTTTGTGATGAAATTAGTGCCCTTCTAAGAAGAACTTGCTCCCTATCCTCAGCTTATTCTGTGAGGCAAGTATCACCCTGATGCTCTAACCGAGAGAGAGAGAGAGAGAGAGAGAAACAGAAAAGAAAACAAGGTTGGTTTTAACATCTAAAAATCAATATGTATCTGATAAAGGACATAAACACATTTTATCAGAAAAAGCATTTGACAAAATCACACACTTTTTCATAATAAAAAACACTCCACAAACTAGAAAATTTTCCAGTGTAAAGCGCATTTATGAAAAACCTGCAGATAACATCAGACTTAATAGTAAATGATCAAATGCTTTCCACCTGAAATCATCAATAAGACAAGAATGTCTGTGTTCACCAGTTCTGTTCAACAATGTACAGGAGAGTC